AAATTTTCACCTTTAAACCGACCATCTTTAAAGTCTTAGATTAAATATTGAAATTTTCGATGCGTTTACACTTTAATGTTGTTTAAATAGTCTTATAAAAAATATGAAAATGTAAAAACATCGAAAACCGTAGACATTTTGAAAAAAAAAACTGAAATTTGACTGGATTAGGATTCAATATAGAAAACGAGCATTAGTGACATTTTTGGACTGCATAAATCGGTTTTGCTTTTAACCCGCCGTAATATTAGAAAGAAAGATTTTTTTATTTAGTCCCAAATCCTTAGACTACAACATCAGTCAGTATACACAGATTTGAACCAAAATGGCAGCCACTCGGCATGTTCTAGGACCTAAAGCATAACGCTGGTATTCTGTGGCAGCCACATGTGAATAGACACTATTTTCAACCGTAATTATACTTATTATATGAGTAATATTATTATGAATACTAAGCTTAAAACTTCGTTCGTTCGTTCGTTTCAGCCGAAAGACGTCCACTGCTAGACAAAGGCCTCCCCCAAGGATTTCCACAAAGACCGGTCCTGCGCCGCTCGCATCCAGGCGCCTCCCTCGACCTTCAATAGATCGTCGGTCCACCTAGTGGGAGGCCTGCCTATACTACGTCTTCCGGCTCGTGGTCGCCACTCAAGAACTTTCCTGCCCCAGCGGCCGCCAGCTCTACGAGCTATGTGCCCTGCCATAATTTATAAATTGGTTACTGAGCCATGGTTTTTATAGCATTGACGAATATTTTAACTTAAATAGATAGTGTATGAATTTTATTGTGACATCTACATTTAACTTTTTGACATTGTAAATTTATTAACTGAAATATTAATACATTAATTTGATTTGTAACATTGTATGTTAAATAATAATCTGACTGATAAAATATTTGTACGTCAGCAGGCTGAATACATGGGAATCATATTAGCTATAAGATCTGCATATAGATATGTATTCTAGTAAATAAATTATTGAATTTGAATTTGCTCACGGCCACTTGAAGCTTAACACTTATTAAAATAAATATCTAAAGTGACTGAGTGAGCACACTGAATCAATTCCACGCTACACGCGAGAGGACTACCTACGTGTCGCGTAATTGGAGCTTAGCTTCGGGGAGCTTGCATGTGTTTGATGACAGCACTGTACGCGGAAAGAAACCTTAATTACCCTACTTTAATGGAACTCCCCACCTTAGTCTTAAGCCTTTATAATTTTGCTCAAAACTTGATTTAAACTCAAGCGTAGAGCTAAGCCTGTGATTGATTGAGTTGCAATATTTAGAGCAATCACACATAGTTATTTTTCGAAGAATTTTGAGAACTTAATTTTTAGAACAAGCAATCAATTTCGTAGGAATCGTAATTTGTTAGATTTGGTGAATATGAAGGAGAAATGTCTAAAAATAAAAGTTACTTTGATCCAATTTTTGAAGTGTCTGTCAAAATGTTTTGTCTTTATTAAAATAGATGATATTATTCTAGAACGGATGACGTTTTAGGATATTTACGCCCGTATTCACAAACGATGTTTGCTTAAGTGAAGCAGCAAATCGAACGCACAGCGTTAAATAGAGCTCTGTGATTGGTTCGGTGTGTCACCCTGTGCATCCACGTGCACTGTGAGACCTCATAGTTATGTTTTTTTAAATTAATTTCGTAGAAATCGTAATTTGTTAGGTACATTTGGTGAGCTTGAATGAGAAATGGCAAAAAAAATGTTTTGTCTTCATTGAAACAGAATGATATTAATCTTTATCGGACGACGTTTTAGTTATCTAAGAAAACTTGTTTGTAAAAGCCTGGTCCATGAGCACGTAGAATCCCGTCCAATGACCCCAAGCTACCCATCCCTATCGCTCGCGCGTAATTTAATTATGTTGCTGTCGCGACTGTGCGACGGGCGCCCGCAGTGAGTGTGCGAGCGCGACAGCAACATAATTACGCGCGAGCGATAGGGATGGGTAGCTTGGGGTTATTGGACGGGATTCTACGTGCTCACGGACCAGGCTTAAGGTATAAATGAAAAACCTTCAAACCGATTTTTAAAGTAAACACTTTAGGAAATCGCTATTAAATACGAGAAATTTTAATTCTCGAGTGTGTAAGCTTTAGCAATATTTTATATCATTTTATACATGGAAAATTTGTGGTCTCGGTAGACTGAGCAATTTAGAAGTCTGTTTAAAATCCACTATAAACATATATCAGTGAGGTAACGAAGCAACTCTCTGGGGGCGTGGTTCGTTATAAATCGCAAAGCTAAGTTTACCGAGGGATCATTAAGGATGTTGCCCGTGCCTTGTTTTATATAGCCGCAATATTAACTTTGTTAGTCCTCTGAAAGTACCTAACGTGGATACTTAGTTGCTAAGTTGATATACAGGGTGGTAGAGACCGAGATGAATATTTTTCTAGAACTTTGGATTACATAGGGACCTATCAGATCCCGTCATAACTTTATTTTGTAATCAATCGATTTCATCAAAATCCGTAGAGTTTAAACCAAGTCACTTTTCCAGATTATCTTGTTGCATATCAGTCTGATTTGTTTTTTTGACAGAGTACAATGTCTAACTTACTAAACTGTAATTAACAAAAATGTTTTTTTTTTTTAAATAAAAAAATCATAACTCGTAATCGGATGGGATGTGTTTTTTTGGGTTTGTAGTAGTTTCGCACGATTTTCCTTCGCACGAATGTGCGAAACGTCCCCTTTCAATAATATTTTTTTTTAGTAGGTTTCGCCCGGATATATCAAAAGTATTAAAAACGGGTGCGAATCGACCCCTTTGAGAACTAGTAATCGCATACTACTAGTTCAAAAAAGAGTCTATTCACAAGCGATTTATTGCGAAAATCGTGCGAAACTAACCCGTTTTTTCCCGGCGGAGTCTGATTCGTCCATAAACAAACTTTAAAAAAATATATCGTATGGTTTGGACCACCCTGTATCTACCCATTAATGGCAAAACGGTGAATTTATTAAATTCCACGAATTCCTAATGATATTAATACATATTTAGGGTTTATTTATGAAAAAAATTGTAAGACGACAAATGTTAACTTATTTACAGAAGCGAATGATGAATTCGAGGAATAAAAATAAACTTCTAAATTCAGTCTTCATAAAGTTCGCAATTCATTTATCAATTCCATGAATGGGCAGGCCTAAATTTAAGTCACTAAATGTAGATAATGAAAAAGCTATTTCTAAAATAGACTCACATGCTTATATTTCAAGTTTGGATGAGAAAATCGTGTTTATATCTGGACTCTGTTACGAGTACAAACGCACGTGACGTAACGTAGATATGATTTTACGATGGTGATTCAAACTAGCATCGGTAGGTTTTGTTGCTCATTGAGTACCAATCCATTGATAAATGGCTTCATACGCTCACTTATCAGGAGATTGAAAATTTCTTAAACGGGTAACTTGGGTTCCTTCTATTCTATATTATTAAAGCCAACACACTCTTACAACACACAAATATACACACCACACACATACACACACCACACACATACACACACCACACACATACACACACCACACACATACATACAGCACGCCTAAAGTAGTATGTTTATGGAATATTTTTTACGGAAGTGGGCGTTAGTAGTCGCACCACAGTTCTCTGAAACTATTGCGGCTATTATCGTACACGCTTTTTCATGTACAAATTTTCTTGTTTCCAATAAATAAATTTTGAATTTTGAATTTTTGAATTTGAATTTTGAATCATCATCATCATCAGGTCATATAGTTTTCACTGCAGGAGCACGACTTTCTCTAATTTACCAGTGGCCAGACGGGTTGGAGAGTACCAATACATCACTTGAAAATTTTCAATGGAGTGACTGAGTGTCGCAGACGCAGTCTAAGTTTTGAACTAAAACAACATTAGGTTCTTTACAATAGCTCAAACTTTATTGCGTCCACAAACAATCCGAAATAGTAACCACAAAGGTTAATCATCCCTACAGTGAAAAATACGCCTACTACAGCAAATAAAAACCCCAAACTTCCTTCCGTACAATCAAATATGAAAATAGTACAATTTTCCCATGGGAAAAATTGTTTTCAAGATAAACAGAATTCGTTTTGGGCGTAATATCATTCATTATTCAGTAGCATATTGCTGCTGCGATTCCTCGTACGATACGAAGGTACTGTGTACACAGGATTCGGCAGATACAGGGCAACAAATAGCCGCAGAACGAAACGGGTCGGCCGCTCGATACACATAAATAATGCAACAGCATACATAATGTAACTTTCTTCCCCTTTCAGACATAGTTTAAACATAAAAAATATCACGAACGGCACTCACAACACTGTCACATTCAAATTAAATAAAAGAACCCCGCCAAACCTTCGTCACTGTCTAACTGATACCTTCTTTTAATTTAACACTCCGTTAAACTTGGACTGTAACAGTTCTCGCAATCGTGAAATGCGTATCTTGAAATTCCAATTACCATTCACCTATAAAGAAACAGCGTCGACAAAATGGAAAAGCTATTGTTGGCTCGAATAATTCCAACTCCGCACAATATAAATCTGATGGCACATATTGATCGAGTACGGAGATAAGGCTAACGTGTATTATGATGTCGTCAAAATAGACACCCAATTTTTAACCAGAAGCAATTTTTATTTCATGTTTTACGCTTGCGTTTAACTTTAAAAACATAACGGATTTAAAAACCTATTCAAAGTTAAGTGATATAAACAGTAAATATTATATTACAACAAATACCTCCCTTAACTAAGCAAACCACCTTGAAAGGGCCAGGCAACCGTCATTTTACTTCAAATTATTTGGCGCCCACGGTCTCAACTACGGTTACAGTTGCCTTGCAAACAAACTATAGGGCAGACGATGCCATTTGAAGCAGCGAGTTATCAAATAATTAATTCAAAGTTTTGTTTTGTTACAGGTAATGCACGCTGTCTCCAGTGAAGCACGAATGGCTTGAACCAATATGGGCATCAGAAGGAGCTTACACATGAGGCTCATTGCCTTATGCACCACCTGCATCCTCGTGCCTGCCATCGCCTGCCCCTCGCAGTGTGTTTGCAAGTGGAAGAACGGAAAACGATACGTCGAGTGTTCCGAAAAAGATTTAAAATCCATTCCAACCACAATAGACCCAGAAACCCAAGTTCTGGAATTTTCGGGCAATGACCTCCAAGTACTTCAAGATTCAACCTTCCACAACCTGGGATTGGTCGACTTGCAAAAGATTTTCTTACAAAGATGCGAATTGCAGAAAATTGATAAACACGCATTCACAGGCCTCGCTAATCTAGTGGAGCTAGATCTCTCTCACAACTATCTCACTGTAATACCGTATACGAACTTTGTGTTCTTCCCATCTCTTATGAGGCTTTCGTTAAATAATAATCCAATAACGAGCATCAAAACCCACTGCTTTCAACACCTATCGTATCTGAATACATTAGAATTGAGCGACTGCAAAATTGAAATCATAGAGAGGGAAGCGTTCTCTGGACTGAATCATTTAGAATGGCTAAGATTGAATGGTAATAAGCTATCAAATATTCAAGGTGACAATTTATTTCCCGACACGCTGAGGGGTATTGAGCTGCAGAATAATAATTGGAACTGCGACTGTCATTTGAGGGATTTACATTATTGGCTGATGAATTTCAATATGCCTCATACCGTAGAGCCGATGTGCTCGATGCCGGAGCGTTTAAAACGACGAATCATAATGAGGGTCAGAGAACAAGAACTCGCTTGTGTGCCCAAAATGATGCCAACGTCTGTATTTTTAGAAACTAATATCGGTAGTAATGTCACGCTGGAGTGCCTAGTAAAAGCAATTCCCGAAGCTAAAATCACCTGGCTATACCAAGGACAAATCATTCATAACTACACGATGGTGGCTTCCGAGCCCCGGGACGTTTATTACGTCGAAAACGGTGTAACCGACAAAAAGAGTGAGTTATACATATTTAACATTGCGAATGACGACAACGGCACATATTCGTGCGTAGCGGAAAACCCCGCGGGGAAATCTACCGCTAATTACACACTCAGAATCATAGTCAAAGAGGAGCCAGTAGTGATTGTAGTCACATTTCCCCAGAGACACTTAGTGGTAATTGTTACTGTTATATTTTTAATTATAGTGTTACTAATAGCAATAATAGCTGTAGTGCTGCTCAAGTTTAAAACGGACACGCGGAGTCGAAAGAAAAAGGAGAGCGGGAAAGACGTCGCATTATGCAATCAAATTCTTCCATCGAGCAGAAGTAATGGCACGCTTCCCAAGAATAACGGGAGTGTCATAGTTAACGCACACTCGCACCATGCCCTTCACTACACTGTGCAGTCAAACCGTGATTATGAAACTAACGATGTGTATCAAAGTAATAACATCAAAGGGTTTGTCGACAGAAATCCTGACCTAATTAGCGACGCGGAAACAGTTGCTAACAATGCACAAAACGAGCACACAGTGCTGTCTGTATACAAAGCGCCAAACGTGAGCGGCGACGGTTTTGAAGAGGAAACCGCATTCACCGCACCAACTTTACCCAGGCAGGTCACGTGGCAGGACCAACAAAACCTAAACAATGTAAATATACCGCCGAATACGATAAACAACATGTACCAACATTCCGCGGATGTACACTTAAATCCCGGCTGCTTTTTAGACAGCGAGGGCTATCCCTACGATTATGGACTTCCAAAACATCCTTGTAGGCCTTCAATGATGTCGAATTATGCCGTAGTTGGGCCTTTCTATCAGACGCTGCCGCACAATAGGCCGAAAGGGCAGAAACTTGTATGCAAATTTGCCAAGGATACAGAATTCAATGCGACCCCGCCAGCGTGCCCGAATTTCGAGGTATTCAACGCAACGAACGTGCGGCGAACATTGGAAGGCTACCCCGTACCACGTAACCGTCAGATTGCCTTTGTAGGGAACGGAACTGTGTATTACAATGATGAGTTCGTTCCTTCGCCTCCTGAAGGATACAAAACGGAGCCAGTAGTGCAATGCTGCGCTCCGACAGAGTGTAGTTCTTGGGTAAATCCGAAAGGAACGTGTGCTGTGATGGTGCCAATTGGAGTGGCCGAGGGCCCTGGTCGGTGTTACCAGGTCGAAACTCGGTGCGTGGACACTCAGACCACAGACGCTCGTATGCCAGGCGAGGGAACGGAGAACGTTCTCAAGCCCTTGCCTCAAGTGTCAAACGCGAAATGTGCATCAGAAATTTGCTCGGAGAGTCCCGATGAGGGCTACGTAGGCGACGCGAACGACATCTGACGACGACGGCACGCCGATAACGCGTAAACAGGGCAATATAGGCGCTAATATAGCGTAAAAGCGACTGAATATGGTAGTATTATACATAGAGACGGTGACTAAAGCAGAGAGCGACGCTCGAATGTTTTAGTCGCGCTCTTTCAGGCCGAATCAAATGAGTTTATGCCAATGACATCAGGTTGTGATCGTGTTATAAAACAGTAATGAACTCGATTGTCCTTCCAGTGGCGATGAACACATTAAAGCGTCATTCACTGCCGAATGCCCATCGTTACCAGAATATCAATACCAAATTTTCCCTAGTCAAATCTCATCTAGCAAAATTGTTTTCCATTATTGCAAATTTAAGCGTACATACTTTTGTTTTTATTACCGTTAATCAAATTATGGATCCGTTTCAATTACTAATAATTACTGTCTTAAATGTTTTACTAAAGAATGCAATAAATTCACAATATAAATTTAATGGCAAACAATATTGCAAAAATTTTATTCGTAGACTATTATTAGCCATTTTATATTAAAAAGTAAAAGTAAAATTAATTTATTAAGCACAATGTATAGTAACTTAAGATTTTATACTTTTTTACATTCATTGATTGTGAATTCGCGTTGAGGATGTTTGTTTCGACTTTTTGTTAGTAATTCACAAAAGTAATTAATAACAATACTGTGACTACGTTTGTTACTCTAATTCCACTAGTCTTAGTGTAATTGAATTGTTCTTACTGGAATGCAAACTGCGCATGTATAATACATGAGTAACCAAACTACTGCTCAATTTGACCTGCTGTGTTCTAATATTGTTAAGTTGCTCATTAATAATGCCAACCTAGTTTATATTGGTTCCCTCTGTTATGTTATATGACTAAAAATATTAGTATGAATTTGAATAGTTGAGGCAAATAAAATAACCTAAATCAGCTCTACACGCTAAGGCTGGGTTACACCATCTTACTTTCTTTGACAAACGTTATAAATCTGTCAAACTCTATAAAAAATATACCGGTCGTCATTATAGTTATGGTGAAAGGTAGATGGCGCAACTCAGCCTAAAACTGCTGACATGTAAGCAAACTACTGCTCAATACCTGCTGTGTTATAATATTGTTAAGTTGCTCATTAATAATACCAACATAGTTTGTATTGGTTCCCTTTGTTATGTTATATGACTAAAAGTATTACTATGAATACTTGAGGCAATAAAATAACTACACAAAACCGCCGAAGACACATGTAAAGAATGATGCTATAACTTTCTCGTGAGAGACCTAACAGTCCAATAAAGGTTTTTACTAGTGGCACGAGTTCTCATAATTTGCCTTCCAGCTTGTAAGAGACACTTAATACGATACTAATGCTCATGTTCTGAGAAACAAAACAATCTAACTATAAATAAAGACTCAATTTAATCTTATAAAATGAGTATGATGTATGGGGCTGAAAGACTTTTAATTAATTAATTAATGAGATGAGTATGATTAATATTTTACGGGGTCGACAGGTATCACACGTCTAACGCACAAGTTTTAGTTAGACTAATAAAGCATGTAGTCACAAAGATAATAAAGGTGCATTTTCCTGAGGATCACAGAGAGTTTTAACTGTCTACAGTCGGTGTCTTTAATTTGTGGTATGAGAAGAGCGACTCAAACGGTAGGTATGTAATATGCAGTCCTTAACCAACTGCAAAGATATATTGCTTGACGTCACACAATAGCAATTTAAATGTGGAATGTAAGTCATTAAACGTGCATTTACATTTATATTTACGACTCGCACAAGTTGAAAGGACAAAATTAAGGGAAACTTTAGCTTTGAATTTTTAGTTTGAATTTCTACAAAGTTTGACATAATTAGTGTATTAGTGACTATGATTGAAAATGGCTGACTGACAGATTTTTTCTTTTTATGTGCATTTAATTCAATGCTGAATGACTTGTTATTTAATAATTACATCACAAAACCTTACAGACACAAACGATTTATTTAACCACTCACTCCACAATGAAACGAAGTGTAATTTTAATTACAATTGTTTTTGTGCTTCCTGAAATCCCGATGGTTGTTGCTGTGAAATTCGATAGGGAACCGGTTAATTTAAAATCACGCAATTGTTTGGATAATGGTGATTTATTGAATCAATTTTGTGCTGAGATTGCTTTTGATTACGTAAGGTGTGCAAGGAATGTGTTAGTTCTTGGAAGATAGCAATTCAAATAACAAAGAGTTATTTTTTTATAAAACCCATAAATATAAGCATGAAATGTTTCCCTCAAAGTTACTGTAAGTAACTCAATTGCAAGGACGACGCCATTTTCATGTATACCTTATTGATCAATCGCATCTAAAGAACTTTGAAATAAATTGTTATCAAAGATTACTAAAATACACAAACGTAGAAGTCCCATGAGTGACACCAAAACTTTTTTATAACTTAGCTGAGTGATTTACATGATCACATAGGCTTATTAAGTAGTCAATCATCTTTAAACAATGCAATAATTAAGATAATTTTAAATTGGTGGACGCATGTGACTTCTATGCTGTGTTCTTGCAACACTTTGGCATCTAGTAACCGCCACAAGTGATCGCCTCTAACTTCAGAAGATATTCTTCTATCAGGACGCAATAGGAATAGATCGTTTCATCCACGAAGACGCGCCCCACTAATTTTTGGTCGAGGGAAGCACGGGGTGCGGGGAGTATGATCCGAGCAATCTGAGCGTCATTATTGTAGTGTGCGTGTGCACTTATGAATAATTTAGCGTGTACCGATAACACTCAAACTTAGCGGAAGAATGGTGTGGCGCGTCTTCGTGGATGAAACGATCTACATTTAATCGTGGATACATTTAATGAGCCTATGGAAAATGTGGCTATTGTCTTGTATTTACGAGAAAGTCTCTGCGATATGTGGCACTATAAATGTCGGGGTTTTCTTACAAATTAGTTTTAATGGTTGCGAAACTCTACTTATGGTGGCGACAAGTTGCCAGTGACGACGACGATGGGCGATTGTAATGACGTATTTTGAGATATTTGAATTTCGAACAAACTCCCAGAATTTGAGTACTTATAATATAAAGGTGAGTAAACTAGAGTTAGACCATTTAATTGTGACAGAACAACGAACCGCTCTATGATATTATGTTCTAGTATTCACCCTTTCACTAACCAATCGTCTTAAATTTTCCTGTACTGTACCATTCGTAAGAACGTTTCATTACATAGAAATGCTCGAGAAAATGCTCCAGTACGCGCATATAGGTACTCACCTAAACGAAATTCGAATATATCAGAAATCGTCATAACCCATAAAACTACATGATTCGGGCCTATGACTCAACACGCACTGTACATTTAACATGAGACGCTCTATAATCTATTGAAACATTATTGGAAATGTTCATACACTAAGCAATGTGATAACTTTGAGTCTACTATTACTTAAAATATGATTGTATCTTCCAAAGGAAGGAATGCATTTATTTTTACCCATTTTTATGTTTGTTGTGTTTTGTGACCACTTACTTTAATTCACAGCATGTCTTTGTCCGTCCGTTTTTATGAATTTTATTTGATTTTTAAATTAAGTACCTACCTACTACTGTGTTTTTTGTTAAAAATGTAAAAATGGCGTTAAAAAGTGCGAATATTTCCAATTTGATTCGTATTTTTTCACAACCTGTAATTTAACGGTTATTTTTTAATCTTATGTGCCTATCTGATGAATATTATGGGAATTAATTATTAGCAATAATAATTTGAACATAAAAATGTACTCAGTGTCATGGTATAATGTGCGTTGCAATCAAGTGAACCACTTTAGTAATAAATTACTAAATAAAAAATCATACTTAAAACGTAGTTGTATAATAAATTGTAAATATCCTGTAAATATTAGATTTTATTATGAAACACTTTCGGTTAGGTAGGACTAAGTAGTGATTTGTAAGTATTATAAACCAATATCAGGGTATCTCCCTTATAATAGGATTTGGTATTATATTGACATTATTTCATGGTTTTATAAAGGTTATAATGGTTTTATCATATTTTAACCGACTTCAACAAAAGGAGGAGGTCAATTCAGTTGTTTTTTAATGTTTTATACCTTTGACAGCACATCACAGTCATTATGTTTAATTAGAAATACACTGTGACTTTAAAACTAGAATATAAATTAAATTGCTTAAGCTTTTACACGTGGACTGTGAATTTATTTTAATCTGGCTGGCTAGTGACATTTTACTGGAACTCATTAATTTTGTTGATATTTTCGTACTTCTACTTTTTGCTATATCGTGTGGGTTGAGCAAACAAAACTCCCGTGTCTGTTGACATAACTACATTAATAAGGTACCCATAGGTGACACGACCCAATCAGAGTGGTGGACTGTATTGATATTTTGTCAAGGTACCTACCTAGAAACGTAGACGTACAGTGTGCTTACCATGAGTTTACGTTAGGTGTGCTCGCTAGCGACTGCGTAAAAAAATGACATTAATTGTATGACATATTGTGCAGCGCCCCTAGCGGCTAAGAACAAAACAAAAATATTTCAAGAAACAAAATCTTCATAGAGATTTTTGACGTACTCGCTAGCGAGCACACCTAACGTAAACTCATGGTAGGTACACTGAATCATACATAATTTTTACTTAATCAGATAGTTAGGTTGATTAACACTATTAATATTTTAACCAAAATGTGTCCCCATTACACAAAAAAATATTGATTTTTTCCGACTGCGCTATGGTATTCAATCTGATAATCAAATTGGAATTCTCTGGTAAAAATAGTCTCACTTTAACCACTAGTACACATAGTAGACATTTTGGGTTTTGCACTATAACCATTTTAAGTCCTACTCCCAAAACTAATGCGTTCGGTGGTGATTCCCCATTGAATTAAGATATTATTTCACGGGAATTAATTCCTGACGACCCCCTTAATTAAAGGGGGAAACGAACTGGGATCCGTGAAGTTATTATAATTGGTTTCATCCCCTGCTAGATCATTTTGGGGGAATAATAATAATAAACAATTTTTGCCGACGTAAACTATCACGAGTGTTTCAATCAAATTAAATTTTCAAGACGGCATCTGTTACTGTCTTGGGATTCGCAACTAAATTAATTAAGGTAACAAGTTGATTGTGTTAATAGAGAGTGACCTGTTTGACAGTCAATTTATGAGCGTAAGAATAAATTGATTGGGACAAAGTGGTCTTAGTAAAACTGAATTCAACTTGAGAAAAAATATATAGATTCTGAGAATGTAATAGGTCTCAACTTCAAAGTCCACGACATTTAAGAAAAGTAATTTAAAATCACA